GCTTAGTTGGTCAAAGCGCCTGTCTAGTAAACAGGAGATCCTGGGTTCAAATCCCAGCAGTGCCTGTTCTGCCAATTTGCTTCTTCTCACTCACTTGGACACATTGCCAGTGTCCCACAGTACATGATCCCTGACAAAGGCAGGGGTGGAAAGGACAAACCTTGTCAGTCAAAAACCAAGCTCAGCCGTTTCCATGCTTCCCAACAGCGATCAGGCTCCTTTCTTGTGCTCAGAACATCTGAGTCCATCAGGCAAGTCACTTGTGAGTCCTGTCCACCTAGGCGTATGTCCTGGGTAAGCTGGCCTTCTGGTCACAGAATCCCGTTTTATTTGTAGTTCCTATTTTTCTTATCAAACACCATCCAAATCCTGTTAATTGGGTCTTACTGTGAATCCATACTTTGTAGTCCTATTTGTGACCACAAAGAACATATCCCCACAACTCCAACTGAAGACAAACTGAAAAAAAGCTTTCTACTTTTCACCTACAGCTTATCAGATTCTAAAGGATTTTTTTTCTGTCATTGTAACACACTTGCACGACATTCCAGGGCACTCATGCACATATTGTAAATTTCAGGCTGCCTCCACACTTCCCATTGGTGGCCTCAAAAGAGACAACTGACATCACCATGATTCACATTAGCCCAATCTTTGTAAACAATGATTGCCATTTTAGAAGCACCCTTATCAACTGTTGAATGAATGATCAAACTGTGAGATAACAGAAAATCTCTTTGCCAAAACATCCAGTCCAGATTCATCTGATCTTTTTGAGGAGTTCAAGAGTCACAGAAGAATTGAAAGTACACAGGACAGTTTTCAGACGTTTAAGTTTCCAACGATTGTGTGTAACTAGGGTTACACTTAAAATGACCCCTATTGTTTAGCTATGGTTGCGGCTGCATCATATGGAAGTCCACAAATACATGAAAATGAGCCAGGATGCTGAGTTCAACGTACGGGAAAGCAACATATGAGCTCCTGCTCTTGTTCACAAGTGAGAAAACCAGTGTGGGACATGGAGCTATTCCGCTCATCCCATGATTGAAAGTTTTTCTGAGTTTAGCACTCCCTGAATTTGCCCCTTCCAATGGCCATCAACCTGTGGGTTCCATGGTGTAACAATTAGCACTCTGGACTCTGAACACAGTTGCACAAATGATATCATTCACTGGCCGGTTCGCTCAGCTGGTTAGAGCGTGGTGCTAATAACGCCAAGGTCGCGGGTTCGACCCCCGTACTGGCCAAGAAGTTTTGGTGGTAGTATGTTACTTTTTATGCTCAAACAAAAAGGCAAGGAAGACTCAAACCCATGTGTAATCCATGTGTAACCAGCAGGGATTCTCACCAATATCACTAACGAGGATGAGTACCACACAGTGGTACTGTCCTTTGGATCTCTGCATCACTTTCCAAGAAGCGGCAGGATGGGAGAGCACTTTTTGGGAATTGGCGCCCCCCCCCCCATGGCCATCAACCCGTGAGTTCCATGGTGTAACGATTAGCACTCTGGAGTCTGAATCCAGTGCACAATACTAGTTAGGACACTGGCCAGTTAGCTCACCTGCTTAGAGTGTGGTGCTAAAAACACCAACGTTATGGTTCGCCCCCGTACGGGCCAAGCCATTTTGGTGGAAGTATATTACTTTTTATGCTCTCAAACAAAAAAGGCAAGGAAGGCTCTCAACGCTGCAAATAAGAACAGGGGCGCTGTGGCTTAGCTGGTCAAAGCGCCTGTCTAGTAATCAGGAGATCCTGGGTTCAAATCCCAGCAGTGCCTGTTCTGCCAATTTGCTTCTTCTCACTCACTTGGACACATTGCCAGTGTCCCACAGTACATGATCCCTGACAAAGGCAGGGGTGGAAAGGACAAACCTTGTCAGTCAAAAACCAAGCTCAGCCGTTTCCATGCTTCCCAACAGCGATCAGGCTCTTTTCTTGTGCTCAGAACATCTGAGTCCATCAGGCAAGTCACTTGTGAGTCCTGTCCACCTAGGCGTATGCCCTGGGTAAGCTGGCCTTCTGGTCACAGAATCCCATTTTATTTGTAGTTCCTATTTTTCTTATCAAAAACCATCCAAATCCTGTTAATTGGGTCTTACTGTGAATCCATACTTTGTAGTCCTATTTGTGACCACAAAGAACATATCCCCACAACTCCAACTGAAGACAAACTGAAAAAAAGCTTTCTACTTTTCACCTACAGCTTATCAGATTCTAAAGGATTTTTTTTCTGTCATTGTAACACACTTGCACGACATTCCAGGGCACTCATGCACATATTGCAAATTTCAGGCTGCCTCCACACTTCCCATTGGTGGCCTCAAAAGAGACAACGTGACATCACCATGATTTCACATTAGCCCAATCTTTGTAAACAATGATTGCCATTTTAGAAGCAACCTTATCAACTGTTGAATGAATGATCCATAAACTGTGAGATAACAGAAAATTCTCTTTGCCAAAACATCCAGTCCAGATTCATCTGATCTTTTTGAGGAGTTCAAGAGTCACAGAAGAATTGAAAGTACACAGGACAGTTTTCAGACGTTTGTAAGTTTCCAACGATTGTGTGTAACTAGGGTTACACTTAAAATGACCCCTATTGTTTAGCTATGGTTGCGGCTGCATCATATGGAAGTCCACAAATACATGAAAATGAGCCAGGATGCTGAGTTCAACGTACGGGAAAGCAACATATGAGCTCCTGCTCTTGTTCACAAGTGAGAAAACCATTGTGGGACATGGAGCTATTCCGCTCATCCCATGATTGAAAGTTTTTCTGAGTTTAGCCCTCCCTGAATTTGCCCCTTCCAATGGCCATCAACCTGTGGGTTCCATGGTGTAACAATTAGCACTCTGGACTCTGAACACAGTGCACAAATGATATCATTCACTGGCCGGTTAGCTCAGCTGGTTAGAGCGTGGTGCTAATAACGCCAAGGTCGCGGGTTCGACCCCCGTACTGGCCAAGAAGTTTTGGTGGTAGTATGTTACTTTTTATGCTCAAACAAAAAGGCAAGGAAGACTCAAACCCATGTGTAACCCATGTGTAACCAGCAGGGATTCTCACCAATATCACTAACGAGGATGAGTACCACACAGTGGTACTGTCCTTTGGATCTCTGCATCACTTTCCAAGAAGCGGCAGGATGGGAGAGCACTTTTTGGGAATTGGCGCCCCCCCCCCATGGCCATCAACCCGTGGGTTCCATGGTGTAACGTTTAGCACTCTGGAGTCTGAATCCAGTGCACAATACTAGTAGGACACTGGCCAGTTAGCTCACCTGCTTAGAGTGTGGTGCTAAAAACACCGACGTTATGGGTTCGCCCCCGTACGGGCCAAGCCATTTTGGTGGAAGTATATTACTTTTTATGCTCAGACAAAAAAGGCAAGGAAGGCTCTCAACGCTGCAAATAAGAACAGGGGCGCTGTGGCTTAGTTGGTCAAAGCGCCTGTCTAGTAAACAGGAGATCCTGGGTTCAAATCCCAGCAGTGCCTGTTCTGCCACTTTGCTTCTTCTCACTCACTTGGACACATTGCCAGTGTCCCACAGTACATGATCCCTGACAAAGGCAGGGGTGGAAAGGACAAACCTTGTCAGTCAAAAACCAAGCTCAGCCGTTTCCATTCTTCCCAACAGCGATCAGGCTCTTTTCTTGTGCTCAGAACATCTGAGTCCATCAGGCAAGTCACTTGTGAGTCCTGTCCACCTAGGCGTATGTCCTGGGTAAGCTGGCCTTCTGGTCACAGAATCCCGTTTTATTTGTAGTTCCTATTTTTCTTATCAAACACCATCCAAATCCTGTTAATTGGGTCTTACTGTGAATCCATACTTTGTAGTCCTATTTGTGACCACAAAGAACATATCCCCACACCTCCAACTGAAGACAAACTGAAAAAAAGCTTTCTACTTTTCACCTACAGCTTATCAGATTCTAAAGGATTTTTTTTCTGTCATTGTAACACACTTGCACGACGACATTCCAGGGCACTCATGCACATATTGCAAATTTCAGGCTGCCTCCACACTTCCCATTGGTGGCCTCAAAAGAGACAACGTGACATCACCATGATTTCACATTAGCCCAATCTTTGTAAACAATGATTGCCATTTTAGAAGCAACCTTATCAACTGTTGAATGAATGATCAATAAACTGTGAGATAACAGAAAATTCTCTTTGCCAAAACATCCAGTCCAGATTCATCTGATCTTTTTGAGGAGTTCAAGAGTCACAGAAGAATTGAAAGTACACAGGACAGTTTTCAGACGTTTGTAAGTTTCCAACGATTGTGTGTAACTAGGGTTACACTTAAAATGACCCCTATTGTTTAGCTATGGTTGCGGCTGCATCATATGGAAGTCCACAAATACATGAAAATGAGCCAGGATGCTGAGTTCAACGTACGGGAAAGCAACATATGAGCTCCTGCTCTTGTTCACAAGTGAGAAAACCATTGTGGGACATGGAGCTATTCCGCTCATCCCATGATTGAAAGTTTTTCTGAGTTTAGCCCTCCCTGAATTTGCCCCTTCCAATGGCCATCAACCTGTGGGTTCCTTGGTGTAACAATTAGCACTCTGGACTCTGAACACAGTGCACAAATGATATCATTCACTGGCCGGTTAGCTCAGCTGGTTAGAGCGTGGTGCTAATAACGCCAAGGTCGCGGGTTCGACCCCCGTACTGGCCAAGAAGTTTTGGTGGTAGTATGTTACTTTTTATGCTCAAACAAAAAGGCAAGGAAGACTCAAACCCATGTGTAACCCATGTGTAACCAGCAGGGATTCTCACCAATATCACTAACGAGGATGAGTACCACACAGTGGTACTGTACTTTGGATCTCTGCATCACTTTCCAAGAAGCGGCAGGATGGGAGAGCACTTTTTGGGAATTGGCGCCCCCCCCCCCATGGCCATCAACCGTGGGTTCCATGGTGTAACGTTTAGCACTCTGGAGTCTGAATCCAGTGCACAATACTAGTAGGACACTGGCCAGTTAGCTCACCTGGTTAGAGTGTGGTGCTAAAAACACCGACGTTATGGGTTCGCCCCCGTACGGGCAAAGCCATTTTGGTGGAAGTATATTACTTTTTATGCTCAAACAAAAAAGGCAAGGAAGGCTCTCAACGCTGCAAATAAGAACAGGGGCGCTGTGGCTTAGCTGGTCAAAGCGCCTGTCTAGTAAACAGGAGATCCTGGGTTTAAATCCCAGCAGTGCCTGTTCTGCCAATTTGCTTCTTCTCACTCACTTGGACACATTGCCAGTGTCCCACAGTACATGATCCCTGACAAAGGCAGGGGTGGAAAGGACAAACCTTGTCAGTCAAAAACCAAGCTCAGCCGTTTCCATGCTTCCCAACAGCGATCAGGCTCTTTTCTTGTGCTCAGAACATCTGAGTCCATCAGGCAAGTCACTTGTGAGTCCTGTCCACCTAGGCGTATGTCCTGGGTAAGCTGGCCTTCTGGTCACAGAATCCCATTTTATTTGTAGTTCCTATTTTTCTTATCAAACACCATCCAAATCCTGTTAATTGGGTCTTACTGTGAATCCATACTTTGTAGTCCTATTTGTGACCACAAAGAACATATCCCCACAACTCCAACTGAAGACAAACTGAAAAAAAGCTTTCTACTTTTCACCTACAGCTTATCAGATTCTAAAGGATTTTTTTTCTGTCATTGTAACACACTTGCACGACATTCCAGGGCACTAATGCACATATTGCAAATTTCAGGCTGCCTCCACACTTCCCATTGGTGGCCTCAAAAGAGACAACGTGACATCACCATGATTTCACATTAGCCCAATCTTTGTAAACAATGATTGCCATTTTAGAAGCAACCTTATCAACTGTTGAATGAATGATCCATAAACTGTGAGATAACAGAAAATTCTCTTTGCCAAAACATCCAGTCCAGATTCATCTGATCTTTTTGAGGAGTTCAAGAGTCACAGAAGAATTGAAAGTACACAGGACAGTTTTCAGACGTTTGTAAGTTTCCAACGATTGTGTGTAACTAGGGTTACACTTAAAATGACCCCTATTGTTTAGCTATGGTTGCGGCTGCATCATATGGAAGTCCACAAATACATGAAAATGAGCCAGGATGCTGAGTTCAACGTACGGGAAAGCAACATATGAGCTCCTGCTCTTGTTCACAAGTGAGAAAACCATTGTGGGACATGGAGCTATTCCGCTCATCCCATGATTGAAAGTTTTTCTGAGTTTAGCCCTCCCTGAATTTGCCCCTTCCAATGGCCATCAACCTGTGGGTTCCATGGTGTAACAATTAGCACTCTGGACTCTGAACACAGTGCACAAATAATGTCATTCACTGGCCGGTTAGCTCAGCTGGTTAGAGCGTGGTGCTAATAGCGCCAAGGTCGCGGGTTCGACCCCCGTACTGGCCAAGAAGTTTTGGTGGTAGTATGTTACTTTTTATGCTCAAACAAAAAGGCAAGGAAGACTCAAACCCATGTGTAACCCATGTGTAACCAGCAGGGATTCTCACCAATATCACTAACGAGGATGAGTACCACACAGTGGTACTGTCCTTTGGATCTCTGCATCACTTTCCAAGAAGCGGCAGGATGGGAGAGCACTTTTTGGGAATTGGCGCCCCCCCCCCCATGGCCATCAACCCGTGGGTTCCATGGTGTAACGTTTAGCACTCTGGAGTCTGAATCCAGTGCACAATACTAGTAGGACACTGGCCAGTTAGCTCACCTGCTTAGAGTGTGGTGCTAAAAACACCGACGTTATGGGTTCGCCCCCGTACGGGCCAAGCCATTTTGGTGGAAGTATATTACTTTTATGCTCAAACAAAAAAGGCAAGGAAGGCTCTCAACGCTGCAAATAAGAACAGGGGCGCTGTGGCTTAGCTGGTCAAAGCGCCTGTCTAGTAAACAGGAGATCCTGGGTTCAAATCCCAGCAGTGCCTGTTCTGCCAATTTGCTTCTTCTCACTCACTTGGACACATTGCCAGTGTCCCACAGTACATGATCCCTGACAAAGGCAGGGGTGGAAAGGACAAACCTTGTCAGTCAAAAACCAAGCTCAGCCGTTTCCATGCTTCCCAACAGCGATCAGGCTCTTTTCTTGTGCTCAGAACATCTGAGTCCATCAGGCAAGTCACTTGTGAGTCCTGTCCACCTAGGCGTATGTCCTGGGTAAGCTGGCCTTCTGGTCACAGAATCCCATTTTATTTGTAGTTCCTATTTTTCTTATCAAACACCATCCAAATCCTGTTAATTGGGTCTTACTGTGAATCCATACTTTGTAGTCCTATTTGTGACCACAAAGAACATATCCCCACAACTCCAACTGAAGACAAACTGAAAAAAAGCTTTCTACTTTTCACCTACAGCTTATCAGATTCTAAAGGATTTTTTTTCTGTCATTGTAACACACTTGCACGACATTCCAGGGCACTAATGCACATATTGCAAATTTCAGGCTGCCTCCACACTTCCCATTGGTGGCCTCAAAAGAGACAACGTGACATCACCATGATTTCACATTAGCCCAATCTTTGTAAACAATGATTGCCATTTTAGAAGCAACCTTATCAACTGTTGAATGAATGATCCATAAACTGTGAGATAACAGAAAATTCTCTTTGCCAAAACATCCAGTCCAGATTCATCTGATCTTTTTGAGGAGTTCAAGAGTCACAGAAGAATTGAAAGTACACAGGACAGTTTTCAGACGTTTGTAAGTTTCCAACGATTGTGTGTAACTAGGGTTACACTTAAAATGACCCCTATTGTTTAGCTATGGTTGCGGCTGCATCATATGGAAGTCCACAAATACATGAAAATGAGCCAGGATGCTGAGTTCAACGTACGGGAAAGCAACATATGAGCTCCTGCTCTTGTTCACAAGTGAGAAAACCATTGTGGGACATGGAGCTATTCCGCTCATCCCATGATTGAAAGTTTTTCTGAGTTTAGCCCTCCCTGAATTTGCCCCTTCCAATGGCCATCAACCTGTGGGTTCCATGGTGTAACAATTAGCACTCTGGACTCTGAACACAGTGCACAAATGATATCATTCACTGGCCGGTTAGCTCAGCTGGTTAGAGCGTGGTGCTAATAACGCCAAGGTCGCGGGTTCGACCCCCGTACTGGCCAAGAAGTTTTGGTGGTAGTATGTTACTTTTTATGCTCAAACAAAAAGGCAAGGAAGACTCAAACCCATGTGTAACCCATGTGTAACCAGCAGGGATTCTCACCAATATCACTAACGAGGATGAGTACCACACAGTGGTACTGTCCTTTGGATCTCTGCATCACTTTCCAAGAAGCGGCAGGATGGGAGAGCACTTTTTGGGAATTGGCGCCCCCCCCCCATGGCCATCAACCCGTGGGTTCCATGGTGTAACGTTTAGCACTCTGGAGTCTGAATCCAGTGCACAATACTAGTAGGACACTGGCCAGTTAGCTCACCTGCTTAGAGTGTGGTGCTAAAAACACCAACGTTATGGGTTCGCCCCCGTACGGGCCAAGCCATTTTGGTGGAAGTATATTACTTTTTATGCTCAGACAAAAAAGGCAAGGAAGGCTCTCAACGCTGCAAATAAGAACAGGGGCGCTGTGGCTTAGTTGGTCAAAGTGCCTGTCTAGTAAACAGGAGATCCTGGGTTCAAATCCCAGCAGTGCCTGTTCTGCCAATTTGCTTCTTCTCACTCACTTGGACACATTGCCAGTGTCCCACAGTACATGATCCCTGACAAAGGCAGGGGTGGAAAGGACAAACCTTGTCAGTCAAAAACCAAGCTCAGCCGTTTCCATGCTTCCCAACAGCGATCAGGCTCTTTTCTTGTGCTCAGAACATCTGAGTCCATCAGGCAAGTCACTTGTGAGTCCTGTCCACCTAGGCGTATGTCCTGGGTAAGCTGGCCTTCTGGTCACAGAATCCCGTTTTATTTGTAGTTCCTATTTTTCTTATCAAACACCATCCAAATCCTGTTAATTGGGTCTTACTGTGAATCCATACTTTGTAGTCCTATTTGTGACCACAAAGAACATATCCCCACAACTCCAACTGAAGACAAACTGAAAAAAAGCTTTCTACTTTTCACCTACAGCTTATCAGATTCTAAAGGATTTTTTTTCTGTCATTGTAACACACTTGCACGACATTCCAGGGCACTAATGCACATATTGCAAATTTCAGGCTGCCTCCACACTTCCCATTGGTGGCCTCAAAAGAGACAACGTGACATCACCATGATTTCACATTAGCCCAATCTTTGTAAACAATGATTGCCATTTTAGAAGCAACCTTATCAACTGTTGAATGAATGATCCATAAACTGTGAGATAACAGAAAATTCTCTTTGCCAAAACATCCAGTCCAGATTCATCTGATCTTTTTGAGGAGTTCAAGAGTCACAGAAGAATTGAAAGTACACAGGACAGTTTTCAGACGTTTGTAAGTTTCCAACGATTGTGTGTAACTAGGGTTACACTTAAAATGACCCCTATTGTTTAGCTATGGTTGCGGCTGCATCATATGGAAGTCCACAAATACATGAAAATGAGCCAGGATGCTGAGTTCAACGTACGGGAAAGCAACATATGAGCTCCTGCTCTTGTTCACAAGTGAGAAAACCATTGTGGGACATGGAGCTATTCCGCTCATCCCATGATTGAAAGTTTTTCTGAGTTTAGCCCTCCCTGAATTTGCCCCTTCCAATGGCCATCAACCTGTGGGTTCCATGGTGTAACAATTAGCACTCTGGACTCTGAACACAGTGCACAAATGATATCATTCACTGGCCGGTTAGCTCAGCTGGTTAGAGCGTGGTGCTAATAACGCCAAGGTCGCGGGTTCGACCCCCGTACTGGCCAAGAAGTTTTGGTGGTAGTATGTTACTTTTTATGCTCAAACAAAAAGGCAAGGAAGACTCAAACCCATGTGTAACCCATGTGTAACCAGCAGGGATTCTCACCAATATCACTAACGAGGATGAGTACCACACAGTGGTACTGTCCTTTGGATCTCTGCATCACTTTCCAAGAAGCGGCAGGATGGGAGAGCACTTTTTGGGAATTGGC